AGTGTCTTGATAAGGGAATGTCTTCTCACTGAAAGGAGGGAGACTTTCTCAGAAAGAGTTGCTGTGATTATTGAGCACAGGTATCAGCCTTGTCCTGCCATCCCACTCAAATAAAGCATCAATAGTTAGTCTGTTAAAATCTACTCTCACAATTCTCTGTGAGAAGAACTCCCCAATGTGAAATAATAAGGTCATTACCAGGAGACCACCTCTACATGCCCTTCTCCATTTTTTGGGAAGATTGCCCACAATCATAGACAGGTATTTTATCCTGCCTGTAAAAGAATACCTTGTAATAGTCTCTTATATGATGTAATTATACCTTAGTTCAAATTCCATAAAATGATGAAATTCAAACCACTGCTGGGAAACACCTTTCTCTGACATTATAACTGAAATGCTTTATAATAATACTAAGCTATAGATCACAGTCAAGTTAAAAAAGAAGTAGTGAAATGGAAGCAAGTAAAGAAAGTTTCTGGAATGGTGCAACTGGAGATATCAGTTGCCTTAAAGCTCTAGAGCAGGTCTGTGGAGACTCCTGCTGCCTTTGTAGAATGTCCTGTTGAGGGTCTAGCCCTGATGTTGCTGTAGCTGTGCTTATGATCTGCTCCAGAACTGGAGATATTTGTCTTTTATGTACATATCTATAATGAACCAATAAATGATATTAAATGAGCCATTTACCCAGGGATCTCAACAGCTGTGTCCTGAGGAGAAAGTAAACTCAGATTTTCTTGAGGTAGGCTCTCTATCAACTTTATAACTAGGTAGCTATTCCAGCTGATTGGAGATAGAGAGATCATCTGGTAATTACTCCTCCTGCTGGAGCTGAAGCCAGGCTGAGCACGTGTTTTACAGCTCTGCAACTGAAAGAAAACTCAGTCTAGTCCAAAGGCAAGAGAGCACTTGTTTTCTGCTGTGTAATTCATATGTCAGGGTGTTTCAGTATTTATAGAATAAGAATAAAACAGTGCTCAAGTTGAAAATATCCACCAAAAAAGCAGAAATAACAATTTAATCTCACTGATGGTATAAGATCCTCTGGAATTATAGTAACACTAATCTGTGCTCAGTAAAACCCAAAGGTGCCTTTAGCTGACCAGTAAACAACTGATAACCTTGCTTAGAGAGCAAATTAGTTACACAAATGAAACTGATATGCTTGAAATGCAAAATCATAGTGTAAAATAGTATTTTAAATAGCATCATGATTCTAAATAGGGAGTCAGGAGTGGTGATACTCTCTTGTGAAATGCAAGTAGTCATGGAGTGCCCTAGTACTCTGCTAACAAGAGAGCTTAGTAGTCAAATTCTGGATGAAAAGGAGAGAGGGATTCATCACTCTCTGGCAAGAAGTCCTAGCTCATAAGAAAGCTGCATAATTAATGCTAGATATTTTAGAGCCATGATTTGCAATTTCTATGTAATCTTTGGAAAAGGGAAAATGTACCCTGGCAATATTCCTGAGGAAGCAGGGGGGGCACCCACTGAGACTTATGTATATTAAGTCAGAAATTAGAGCCAGGGATCTGAAAGATCCCTGATATACTGAAAGGTTATGGCTTGTCCTTCATTGGAAATTATGTGAGCTTATATGAGAATAAGCAGAAACACACAGAATCTGCTAAGGAATTGAAGGTTAACTTACAACCCTAAATGTAGCAATTGCTGAGAACCAAATTAAACACTTTGATTTTGCTTATTTTTGAGTTTAAAAAAATGTTTCCCAACCACATATTTTACAGTCGAGAGTGACATTCATGCCAGTTCTCCAAAGATGCATCATCAGAAGAGGAGCTCCAGATGTGGCTGTTGCTCTAATCACAGTTAACTGACAGCTTATAAAAGCCATCATCTTAAGGAAACACCTACATGTTACAAAGCTTGGGATCAAGAAGAGAGCCCCAGGAAGCAGCTCAAGGCTTCTCACTCTACTAGAAATAAAATCAGCAGAGGAAGTGAAAGAAATATAATTAGAGAACCAAGTCTTGAACCAGACAAACCCTTTTGTCCTGTATGCAAAGTCTACTGGGAAACTGCAAAGTTGCTTACACTAAAAATTCAGCACCATCTAAGATATAAAATAAAACTGGAATCTGTAGTTCAGGTTTTCACAGGCACTTAATGGACTTAGACCTTTATGCGTTACATTTCAACAAATAAAATTAGTATTGCCAAGTCTTGTGCTTTGATTATTAGTCTCTTGCTATTTGGTGTCTCCTGGGAGACAAGAAAACATGTGAGAAGATAAACTTTCATCTAAATTTATGGTTACATATGTATGTACTTATGTACATATGTGACCCTCTTGGCTGTGAAGAAAACCTTGAAAAGGGAAATCTGAATCCATAATTAGGTAGACAGAGAACATTTGGTGAAAGAACTGTCAGTACTGAGTCATTTTTCACATTGTTTTTATTGTGTGCCTTCCTTGTTGTCTTAGTAAACAAAATTAATCTGCTCTGAGCTCTGTCCTGCCAATGTTTAGAGCTTTACTGGTAGCTACATTTCCTACTTGTAACAATAACTTGAATATCTTTATCTTCTGGTATAGTTTCTTCTCTGACTTCAATGCAGGCACCAGTTGTTCCTCACTGGCAGTTGTCTCTCTAGTGGTTACAATTTGATACTATTTTGCCTCCCAGAAAACGCAGGGAGCTCTCAGAAGCTTTAATGCAGGGCTCATCTTCCAGTAAAATCACTGAGTGCTCAAGTACTTTCATGTACAGGAAAAAAATTTTTTCTCTTTTTGACTTTTTTTTCAGATAAACAAACACCTTAGTGAGAACTACTGTCTCTCTCTGGAACTGTTTTTTCATGACTCAGACCTTCTCTATTTTCTGCAAATGAAAATTTATAGTCAGAAATTTTGCTTACCAAATCCCCCAAAACCAAATAAAATCAAACCAAACAAAACACCCCAAGACTTCTAATGATAGGATCCAGGTAAAAGAATTCAGATGTGTCTCAGCTTTCAGTGAGCTTGATGTAATAGCTTGAAGTATGGACAGTCTGGTTTATTTTCAGTGAAGATTCTTATAATCTCTAAAAATATTCTGTGCATTGTGTGACCCCCATTGAGTATAAACTCAAAGGAGTTAAATGCATTGCTCTGATATAACAAATCTGGCTAAGTATCACAAACACAGTTATAACTAACAGTTGACCTGACCATCAAGGTCAACACTAGTCTGACCAGCAAAACCTCAGAATATCTACTTACTGACAGGGCCCACTGATGTCTGAATAAATGTGATGCTGTGACCTGACTGAGATGATGCTAAAGCATCTTAAATTCAAATATCCTGGTAACTCCTCTCAGGAAGTGACTAAAAGGGAAAAAGTTCTAAGTAAGCAGGAACAAGAGAACTCTTCCCTAGATGTTGTGGGTTTTTTTTTAATGCAATGCTACTTGGATCACGGATAGATTAAAATGAGTCCTTCAAAACCACTTTCCTGCTTTCCATCTAAGAATGAAAGTTGACGTCATGAAAGGTGCTTACTTGCACATGAATATTCAGCTCAAAGTCAGCATCAGCAGTGCTGACTGCTGGTCAACTGCTCTACTGGCTTGCAGGAGAATGGTTCTGGCCAGGGGCCTTATCCCAAACTTTGTGCAAAAGGCAACATGAAACAGTTTCTAGGGACTATTGATTCTGTTACTGGTAGTGAGTTGAGTGATTTACTATTAAATGCCAGGAAAACTTGATTGAGGAGCTTACTCATCTGAAAATGAGTCAGGGAAATTCCTGTGGTGCGTACTGAGAGTGTAAACTGGGGATTCCTACTGCAAAGAGCTCTCATGGCATGTATTTTGATATTACATTTATTGTCATTGCCGACCGTGGGATGAGAGTAAGAGGAACATTAAGGTTGCTTAATTAGATTTAATGAATACATGACTAATGTCACGCAACCGTGTTCTCATTAATTCCTTGGTTAAAACTGTTTCTTTCGCTGGAAATTACCAAGGATGAGTCACAAGTAGCCCAGCAGAAATAAAGTAAGGAGCAAATACCCATCGCTGCGATGCCCTTTTGCTTACAGGAGTAGGGGTAGTGAGATGCTTCTGTGTAGCCGCTGTCCACGGACACCACTCCTCTCTGCCGGGGGGTGCCCGCGTACTGCCTAAACTTTGAAGTTTTCTGGATGCGAAGAGCACAGAGCAGAGAGCATGTGAGGGAGAAGGGTCTGACCGGCGATGTCGTGTGTATCGTGTGTTCCCGTCACCAGCTTCCTCCGCGACGGGGCCGCACCTGCCCGGGGAGGGGCGGGGAAGGGCTGTGGCCGCTCCCGTTACCCGGCGAGGGCCGGTCTTAGGGCCGGAGGGAGCACATCGCCCTCCCCGGGAGGGAAGGGCAGAGACCCCGCGGGGCAGCTCCTCCTCCGCGGGCGCTACCCCTGACAGGGGCGGCGGCGAAGGGCTGCCAGAGACCCCCCGCGGTTACATAACGAGAGCCTCCGGGGGCAGCTCCGCCGCTGCCCGCCAGTCCCACTCCCGCCCGGCCGGAGGGCGGCGGACAGAGCGCAGCTCCCCCGGCACCGCTCCCGCCGCTCCCGCGGGCACGGACCGGGCAGCGGCTCTGCCGCCTCAGCGGGCACGCGCAGGGCGCATGCGCCTCCCGGGCCCGCCGGCGCGCCGGGCATGCGCGGGGGTGGCGGCCGGGCAGCGTCTGGGGGCGGGCGGGCGCGGGCGCTGGTGGAGCCCGCGGGGCACCGGCTCCGAGCCCCGCGGGGGCTCCGCCGGCGGCCGAGCGGCTCCCGGGGCCGCCGGGGCGGCAGCGCCCCAGCCGGGCTGTGCCCCAGTTTGTGTCCAATCAGAGAGTGCAGCGCCTGACACCGGGCGGGCGGCAACGCGTAAACAAGCCCCGGGAACTCCTCCGCCCCCCGCGCTCCCCTCCGCGCCGCTCCCCGCGCCGCCCCGCAGCCGCCCCCGCCCGCCGACAAGTCCGGCGAGGCGCGTTCCCGCCGCTCCGCCGCCTTCCCCTCCCCCGCCCGCCCGCCCAGCCGGCGCCGCCCGCGCTGCCACACGCACCCACTCCCGCACACGCCCGCGGGTGCCCGCGGCCTCTGCAGGGGAAGGTAAGGGGCCGCCGGGGGCCGCCGGGCGGGCGGCGGCGAGGTGCGGGTGCGTGCGGGGGGATCATGTGTCATAACAAGTTGTTGAACGTGACATTGCTCTTGAACCGCGGCGGCGGCGGGCGCGGGGCCGCCCCCGAGTAACTTTCTCCCGCGATTCGGCGCTGAGCAGGGAGCCGGCCGGGCAGGGCTGAGCCGGCGGGGCCGGGACCGCGCTCGGGAGGGGCCGGTGCCGTTCGTGGTGCTCGTGGCTGCCCCGGGGGGGACGGCGGGGGGACGGGCGAGGGCTCTGCTGCGGGAGCCGCTGCCGCCCCGGCGAGGATTTTTCTAGCAAGGCGGCTGGGTGGGCAGTGAGCGAAGAGCGGGTGCCGGTCCGGAGCATCTCCTCCCGCGGGTGATTATCCCCGCGGATGCTCCGTGGCGGTTTTGGCTCGCTTCCGGCGTGATTAGCTCGGCTCATTATGTAAGATGTCACCGAAGGAGGAGAGGCACAAGCCCTCGGTGTGGCGGAGCGGGGGACGCGCCGGTCCCGCCGCGCCTTCCCCGCTCCAGGTACCGGAGCAGAAGGATCAGCCCCGGCCCGGAGCGGGCGGGCGGGAGGGATGGGGAGCTCCCCTCCCTTCGCAGCCCGCCGCTGGAATACGGCTGCTCGTTTTACACGTGGGTTGGGTGTGTTCCCCAAACCTTGCCTTTGAGTAGGAACGTAACCTGCTCTGGTTCCTCTCCCATGTTTGACTGCTTCTTTTCTCTTCCAAAATGAAAAATAAACATTTGAGCATAAAAAAAAGTTAAAGAACTTGATTTTTTTGCTTTCTTTATGTGCGTGTTTAGTATGTTAACATGATCTGGAGACGATTGAATGAATCATCAGTTCCATGGAATAAAAGCAAGTGAATCATCTCGCATACACACGCACAAAACTGAGAGGGAGCGTAGTTGTTACCGTAGACAGTGAAAGGTTAGTGTCGGTTTCTGATGTGCAATGGGATGGCAGGAATATAGACAGTACTCAGAAACCCAGCAGGTTTCCTGGGGCTAGTTTGTGAACTGTGAAAGTTTTACAACATTCAATTGCAGTTTTTCTGGCTCAGTAGTTGGATGGTAACATCTTTCAGTTATCAACTTGCCACCCATTATTTTAGCCAAATTCTCAGAAGGGAGGTGTAAGTGGTAAGAGTTTAGTAGCTGTGTTATTCAAAGTGTATTAGTTTAAAGTAAAATTTAAATGAAAATAGAAAAAAAAAATGGTATCACGCTATGTCCATACCCCGAAGCCAGAGACAGATCCCAGATGCTTTTAGTCTGTGTTTTATTTTACTTAGTTTTATTAAGCACAAATAGTCTCAAAGTAAAAATATATGAATATGTATTTTTAAAAACTAAAGCCAATTTATTTAATAAACACATTGGAGTTGTACCTAGATAGACTTCTGTTCTTGATCCTCTTGCCTGTTGCTCTTTTAAATGGGATTGAGGCAGAATCCTATATATAGTTGTTCTTTCAGCTCTAACTTGCTTCCAAGTGGAATTTCCATCCTCCACGTTTTCTTGACACATCTATGTCTCCTAGAGGTATAGAAGGCATAATATGAATTTTACAAGATTGGCTCCTCTTTTTTTCTCAGCATACCTGCCACTGGCGAGAAATGAAGTCACTGTTTATAGTGGGGAGGTAGAGCTTTACACATACAACCACTTGATTTTACAGTATGTGAAGATCTTTGTATGTCTTGCTGGTGAACCATTCTGTTTCCTGTGGCATCAGGTGTCCTTTATCTTGCTGCCTATGTTTTGTACCTCTAGTCATTCTCCAAATGACAATGGAAGACTAAATCAGTTCCAGGAAGGGTCGGTTTGGGTATTTGTCACTGCTGGGGAAAAAGGTCATGTTAACATTTTTGATGTCCGGATCTGTGTACCAGCACTTCATAGTTTAACTACAGGATTGGAGAAGCTAAGTTTGGGAGAACTCTATTACTTCAGGGTTCATTGTGTGGTTTTAACATATCAGTATCAGAAGTTTCTGAAGTTAACCAAGACTGCACAGGAAAGTGAACGCACTGTAATAGAGAATCTCTTAGGTATGTTGGGTGGTCACGTTAACAAACAGGAAAAAATACTGTTTTATTTGTGCATTTAATTCAACAGCCAAACAGCATTCATCCTTTTTTATTGAATTTCCTTACAAAAAAGATAAAACATACAGCGTGTGTGGTGTTCTATGTCCCAGACCTCAGCTGAAAGTAGTAAAGGAAATAATACTGAAAGTGGACTCACCACTCTGCTCCAGCTGTTTTTTCCTACTCTATGTACACTCTAGGATTCAAAGAAGAAGTGAAAAATTCTAGGTTTTACTTTTAAGCCTGCAGAATGTGCAAAATAAAGTGTATTGACATAGACTAAGGCTAAGATAATAGTTGGTCCTGTGCAGCTCCATTTTTAGGATTGATAAGTGTGGTACTCTAGGATGCATAGCAGAACTTTGCGAACTGTGGAGGGGAATACTGATAAAAGTGAATTGTCTGAACTTTATATCTTGATTTTTGCTGTGTTGGGGATATATAGGCTTTGTTCTTAGTGTGATCAATTTATGTATATTAAATTTTACACTGCCTTTTTTAAGAAAATATATTAAGTTATAATCTTTTGTGCTTTGAAAGACTGGTCTCAACAGCAGCTTCATATGCTCTTCCAGCTATCTCAACTAGAAATGAATGGTTAACATCCCAGTAGGAAAACAAAACAACATAATTCCTTTTTGCAATTTGGTTTAAAGACCCTTTCTAGACAAATGCAGCAGTCCCAAGCAAGGTTTCGAACTACTCCTGTAGAAAGACATACTGCTGGTGTTGAAAGAAAGAATCCTTTCTTCAGCTATTGAAAACTTTGCACCAAGTGCAGAGTGGCTTGGCATTGTTTGTTCCCCAAGTCCTCAGTTAAAAACATTTGTTATGGTTGTCTGGGAAGAAGTTTAATTTCTGTTACTAGTCTTGATATTTAAAATACCAAGAAATAGCTGGAAAAAGTTGATACTATATCACTCAGAGTTGTAGCTAATCTGTTTTTGAATGATGCTGGGTAGTGCCTTAGATATTTCTTACACTGAAGCTTATTTTCTTGATTATTGTGTTTTTATCTTTAATTTTTTCCAGTAGATGTAGTGCCATGAAAAGTAACAGCTTGACAGACTTTGAGACTGAAGCCCATAATAAGCAGAGCAGGTGAAGCACTGGCAGCAGCTCCACTGGGCTGTGACAAGACTGTGTATATGTATATGTAGCTGTGCCCTGTGGGAAATATCAGTGTTACTGTCTCTATCTTGATTATTGCTTATAAAATAAAAATTGTTCACAAGTATAGGGTGCTTCTGGAATGAAAGATACATAGTATTACTTGAGCACTGTGGTCTCGACAGCTGTCACAAGTAGTTCTTACATGTGAAACAAATATTTTTGACTGGTTACCTAAAGCTGAAACCATTTATCCGATTATTGATAGTTAAATTCATGCACGTCTCAGCAGCTTTCTTAACAGCAGACCAAACTGTTCATTTGCACTGTGTTTTGGTTATCTCTTTCCTGTTAGGGAATAATTTTCTTCCTTTGTTTGCCATCAGTTTGTATATGTTTTGAGATTTGGCTGGAATTAAAAAAGTAGCCTGCTAATTTGCCTTAATAATCCTACCCTCATAAAAGACCTGACTGGAAAAGACAAGAAGACATACTTTCTCAGAAGAGGTCTAAGGTGAGAGTAAGTTATTGGGAGGATCTTCACTTCCTTGAGATACTGTTGTGTTCCTGCGTTGCAGAGAGCTTCAAGTTGTTGCCATCTGTAATGGTTTAGGAACTGCCTTCCCACTCATCTTCAGTGGCAGTTGAGTTTGCACTCATTGTTCTAAAGAGTGCAGCACATGAACATGGAGCAATGACTGCTAAAGAACCAGGTATCTGCACTGCAGACAGGGTGCCTTTGATGGCCTTTGTGCACAGCTTCAGTATCAGTTCTTCCACAAGCAGGCAGACCACTTTGTAGTGATACCATTTCCACTCCAAGGAAATTCTTATCAAAAAGAACCCTTCCCACACAAAAAATCACCAGCGGAGATGTACCGAGAAATAGTGGTCAGACCTAAAAGCTGTGATTTTTTTTTTCCTGATTCTTTGGTATGAATCTCATTCCATGCATATTATTGGTGGCAGTGTTACAGAATTATTTTCTGACAGCTGAATCAGTAAATACAATCTGATATCAGCAGGGAAGGCCCTAGTTTGTAATTCACATAAAATTGCGTGCGTGCAGTTTGTTATTCTCATCTTCCGAACTCCACCCTACACACTTGTTTTGCTCACCTGTTGTTACAGCTTAGTTTTTGTAATATGATCTCCTGGGGAAACACTTTGCCATTAATTCTGTATTTGTAAAATCGCAGCACTTCAGTATTCTGGCTGGTTTGGCTTCTGGTCTCTATGGCAATAAGTAATAAGTAATAGCTTTCATTTTAGATCTTTTTGCCTGAATCTTTACTGTGTTTCTATCCCAGTGCAAGGAAAAAACCAAAACAGTTCTTCTGAAGTTTTAATAGAATATTTATTCAAAGACCAACGCTGAAAGTAACATGTTACTCCAAACAGACAACAGTACAAATGAAAGAGAATAGCAAATCTAAATTCACATTTTTATGACTCCTGTGAAGGTCCAGTGATAGAGATTTTACTCATACCGATGCAGCTATGGTACCTCTGTTAAAATGATTCAAAATCCCATGTATTTTAGACAGTAGGATGGATAAAAAAAGACTAAACATCTCTGCTAGATTCAGGAGTAGGGCTGATATAGGGAGCATAGAATGGGGTAAGAGGGTTAAGGAATGTGTAAACAAGGGTGCTGGAGGGAAAAGGATAAGGGACAAGGGACAAAGGAGGGAGGGTTGCTGCTTTTAGAGGCTACCTATAAAACTTACAAGGCTTACCAATATTAGAAAATTAAAAAAACCATTAGGGCCTTAAGGCATCACTATGAAAAATAAAAGATCAGTTTTGTTTTAATATAGTTCAACTGGAAAAATCTCACAGGAATTCTCAAATGTGATGAACTTCTGTAAGGGACAGATTGGTTGTAATTTTCATAGTATCTCCTGTTTTTTTTTAAAAAAGATTATTTGTGATTTTCTTGTGTAGCCAAGGCACCCTATAGTGGTTTTGAGTAGAAGTTTATTCAGTCATGGACTTGGAATTACACAATTCTTTTTGTACCTGAGCTGTCCTGGTTCTCTTCAGAGAGATGTGGAGTTAGAGACTGCTTACAGTGATTATAGACAGATGAAACAGCTACCATTGACTTCTTCCACAAGGAACCAAATGCTGCGATTATAACTTGATGCAGAGAGGCAATTTATCTTCACCTTGTAATTACAGAGGTGATTTCACATTGGCACTGTATCACCATATAGGAAATACATTGATTTTCCATGTGGCATTACATAATTTCATGTTAATTTCTCTTTGCAGTGGTCTTTGAAACTATTAATGTTCATGGACTACTTTTTCAGGTCTCGTGTACTTGTTCTGTAGCAGTTTCAGACAGTATTAATGAATTCCATTTTATCAAACAAAACAAGAAAGTACCTAACTTAGTTTGTAAAAGCTGTGAGTTACTAGTTGTATGATCATATTATGATTTTATGACTTTTTATGAGACAGTAACTGATATTTTGCAGTGGCTACAGCTGACAAACTAATTTGCAGAAGTAGAATAGCCAAGATTTTTCTTTAGAACTATAAAATAAAACATGTTAATATGCATTAACATTTACATTTTTAAAAATCATGGAATCATATAATAAAGTATTTTAATACACATTCATACAGATAGTGTGGATGTATGAGAACACATTTGGATTGATTCTTATGTTGTCATCTCCTGTAGACATCTCATTTTTGTTTTCAGTAATTTTAAAACGGGGATAATCTATGTAAATAAGAGCTTTTTTTAAAAAAACCCAAATAATAGAAGACAAGAACGTAGGGTGTAACAGGTGTATTCTGCCCCAGTTGTGTTGTAGCTTTTACTGAGTACCCTGACCCATGAAAAAGTTCCTGTTAGGGAACGGTCTCAATTTCCAGTCTTGGCATTCTCCTAATCCCTACATTTTTCATAGTCTGTGAATTTGTGATGCAGATTGAAATTACTGGTCATAACTGCAATTTTAGCTTTGTCTGTCCAGGGATAGTTCTGCTGGCCTTGATCAATAGCAGGGCTTGATTCATAAAAGCAGCTCTCCAAGGCTTAACACTGAGCCTCCCTGGTAGTTGCTGACATAATAATACAAGGTAAAACTGATGACATGACGTGTAACAAGATAACTAACTTCCAGAATCTGAAATTACGTAGAAGATAGAAAGTTCCTTTTAATAGCAGAAGATTTTGCATTGTGCTTCCTAGTTCTGGTTCTTTCTTTTAACAATGCTGTTAGATTATTGGTTTGCTAATTGGAAAGTCTGTTTATTAGATTATTCCAACATGTGGTCCAAGTCTTCAAAAGAGAAATTACCACTTTTCTTTTAGATGCAAAATACACCAGGATTATCTGTTTACTTAACTTCCTTAGATATAATTTTTCAGATTACTTTTTGCATTATATTATGTCTGTTAAAATCTTTGTGTACAAACAAAGCACAGTAAAGTGAGGGAATCCAAAATTTAAATATTCTGAAGATAAATTTCAGTGCTAGTTACTACTGATCAGATCTGAGAGACGGAGAAATTCTCTCTGCCACAAAAAAAAGTAGTTGATCTTGAGATAAAAGTCTTGAGTGATTCTTAGAGAAGTGTCACCACTGATTAAAGCAACTGTAATTACATTTATTTCCTTCCTCAAGAAGAATGGAATATGTAAGAAACCAGGCTCTTGATTAATTTCATAATGAAAACACAGTTCTTTTTTCAGATGAAAGATCATTTCTTAAATAGCCAATGTGTGGATTGAATGAAGTTAAAGATGTTTCTTTCTTTCATGGTTTTATAAAATTGTTGTTTACTGTTTTGAAGAATCATCAGTACTAGCTGCAGAGACAAAAGATCCTTTATATGATATAAATGATATTTTGAGTAAGTATTCTTGGTGGATTCTGGCTGTAGAATTTCCCTGCATACAAAGTGATTTTGAAGAGCTGCTTAATCAGACCAATATTTTTCAGCTTTCCATCTTAACTCTTTTGATATATCATAGATAAAGTAAATTTTCATCCCAAATACATATTTACCAAAAGTACAAGTGTTTGGGGTTTTTTCTGGTGTAGATGGTGATCACAGAATGCAAATGAATTTATTTGAAATAATGTACTAAGTGACAGTTGGTGCCTCACACAGGCTAGTGTTTAAAATCTACTATGGATGTGTAACTTTTGTGTATTAATTGCTAAAAACTTAGAACATAAATTTACATGGGATTGGCCTATAATTCAAAATTACCATTAATTGCAGAGGAGCTTTTCCAGTTAATTTATTGTAAAGCTGGATGAAACTAGTGACAGACTTGTAGCAGAGGAGTTTTTCTATAACATCTGGCTTCTCAAGGTATAATAGCTCTTATTGCATCTAATACAGTAGGGAAAACCACACAAACTATTGAGCATACGAGCCCTTCCTCAGGTTTTGAACAATAGCAGCAAACTGTGAACTAGGGGTGCAGTTTCAGAAGAATCTACAGCCACTGCTATTGAATGAGAAAAGTGCTGCTACCATTTATGCTGTGTGAGCCCTGGCAGTCATTAAACCCCCAAATAAATTAGGTTTAACTAAACCAGCAGGAAACTACTGAAAAATAAGTTTTCTGCTGGTCTCGTGTATTACATGGACTTACAGATGAATCCACAAGCTCCAGAGCTTCCCTTTTTTTTGGTACAACTGGTCCATTAGATCAGCTCTGCTGGTCAGCTAGTGGTAGATTTAGGACAAATTTGGAATAGTTGCTGTGAGTTTAATTTAATTATGGCAATTAAATAGCTAATCAGAGGGAAAGTGTGGTTATCACCTGTAAAACAAAGGGGATATTAGTATGGCCAGAAATTGTGAGATAGTGCTTCATCATGGGCAGATGGAAAATGGATCATTACCAGCAGAACACTGAAGGGTTTAGCTGGAGTGTCACCATGCAAAAGAGACAGTATCTCCAGTTAAGATATTCTTTTTGATATCTAGAAGAACTGTGAGTACTCATTTCCATGTTTGACTTGGTGATTGGGAGTATGAAGTGAGAGATTCATTCTGGCACTAGAAGTCTTGCTAATATGTGTGTAATTACATTGTCAGAACAGCATAAATAGAACAATTTACATTAAAAAAGAGTTCTTAAATACTTATTTAAGCTAATCTCTGATCTTACTTTCTTGGATTCTTACTAGACTGCTGCACTAACAGTGTGTTTGGGTCACATGGACAAGGGTTGCTGGAGCAAGTTTGATGTTCTCTGGTTCTGGACTATTTGGTATGAACTCTGTGTCTGACTTCTTCCTTGGCAGTGGAGAACCCTCCCTGCTTCCCCCGTCAAGGTGTCCTATAACTAGATTTCTCAAGCACCTCTGATATATAAACATTTGCTAAGATCTTCTGAACATTGGACTTTTGGATTTACAGTTTCCATCTTTTGGTGTGTGTAGGGAGGGTAATATGTGATAACACTGACAAGCAATGTGCTGACTGAAATTTCCTGTATTTCCTACAAGTGACGACAGCTACTTACCATGTAATTTTTACTGTATGTTTTCAAAGGCAGTGTCTTGGGTCCCATGAATCCAAGGCAGTATTCATAAAAATGCATATAATTTAGAACTTCAGCTTTTTCTGATGAAAACTACTGTAACTTAAGCTTCAGTTTATCCATTTGATTTCATGCCAGTGTTGAACATGAAATAGAGGAAAGCCTAACCAAAAGTACTTCTTGTACTTACCATAGTTAAGTTACCATAGACTGTTCTAATAAAGATATGTAGCTAAAGATGTTTAGGGTGTATTCCTGCTCTAGAGTAAAGACAGTGGAGCAGATCTTTGCAGCATGCCAGTTTGAAGTACCTTAGTTAGGAGGTCCGTGCAGGAGTGAACTGCATTGCAATTACTGCGTCAGACATTACTGGGCTTAATGACTAAAAGTGTTCTTCAAAGTTGTTTTCCTATAAGCAAATAGATGCTAAATATTTTGGGGGGGGGGGGGGGGGGGGCTGGAGTTGCTGTCTATGTAAACATATGTTGCAGTCTTTTGTTTTTTGGGTCTTGTGCTTTTCTCTGCAACACTTCTGAGTTAGCAAGGTTTCATATTCAGGGGTTTATCTTTTCACTATCTCCTTTTTTTTTTTTTCCCCATGTTCTTGCTTATCTCACAAACACAAGGAACTGATCGAAACTTCAGGTAGAAGATAAATTTTGGAATAAGAAGAAACTTGTGTACCCTGAAAAGAAATCACAGAAGGATTGTTGAGAAGAGTCTAGAGTACAAGTTCCGGTATGAAATTCTAAATATTTTCCTTGGAATTCAGGTCACTGTCTGCTCTGGAAGACAAGCCTCACTTAGCATAGAGTATAGCATGTAAAATAGTTCCACTGTGTCTGTGCTGACCAGGCAATGATTACTTCTTAGTGGAAAAACTAAGTTTAAATGGGTTCAAACTAACATAGCTTCTGCTCTGTTGTACGTGGTATGCACTAGAATATATTTCATGCTTTAACCAAATATGCGTCTTATATGTAAGATTACTTTTTATTGTATGAAAACTAACCATAAAGTAAGGTCAGCTTTCTAATGCCTGATTTTTTGCCACTGTTAAAAATGCTTTATGTTTTTTTTTCTTTCTTAAGATGTAGGAAGGAAAACCATTTGTAAATACTATTGAGATGCATTCTTCAGTCTCCACAATATAAAATCAAAAGGCAATTCATTTTCTTAACACTGAAGAGGTTGAAATATTACACATGTTTCAATAACATTGTATCAGTATTCACCTAGAGAATACTAGTTCTGACTTTTTATTTCCACTGAAAGCACTTGCAAACATTCCTGCTAATTTAAGGGCCCACAGTTTGAATCCTGTGCAGATATTCTAAATTTAATCCTGTGAATTTGCATAAAGCCAGAGAAAAGGTCTTTCATTGAAAATCAGATGAGTAAATTAGAAAACGTTAAATGCTTTTTTTTCACTTCTGTAGCACTAAAATTGTGGGGTTTTGTTTTTTTTTTTTTACTATTAAGTATTTCCAGAATTATGTTATGTAGAAACTCGTCAGGCCAAAACCAGGTATAGTTGCATTACAAATTGACTGACTGGAATCAGTCACCTAATCCTAGGGAAATGGCTTGATTATTTTTAATCTTATGTAGATGGGCTAACTGGTACAATTTTAAAAGCTTTCTCTTCGTAAGGACAAGACAGAAGATGGGAAGGTCTCCATGTGTGTTTTCTAGGCCCTCATCCTATGTGCTGTTATATAAAACCACCTGAAATTCAAGCTATGATCTCACTGTTAAGTACCAACTTCAGTTTGTGTAAAGTGCTGCTACTAGAAGTTTGTTAGTTCTATATTCAGGGTGACCATAAAGAAGGAGAGAGAGCAGGGAGAGGAGAAACTCATTATAAAATTAGTTTAGCAAGATGACACAAAACCTTGAATAAGGACCAGTGCATCAGTAGAAATTAAATGGAGATATAATGGGACAATTTTCTTAAAGTAATATAATCATGAGTTTCCTACAATAGACACTTGATTCAAATGTTAGGCTAGAGTCAGCTTAATTGTGAATCAAAAAAACATTACAAAGGAGATGGAAGCCAAAGAATGCATATGGGGGGGCTAGGCATTCATATCCTACCAAATCTTTCCTCACATAAAACTGCAGAAATAAGTCTGCAGTGTTTAATTGTTTCTCAGGGAAACAGCAGAAAAAAAACACAGAACAAATAGGAGCAATTCTAAAATTGATATATTCCATATAAATGTAATTAAGCTCCCTGATATTAGACGAATTCAAATAGAAATCTCATATACTTCTATGGGCATATTCTAGATCTAAGATCTGAGATAATAAAATAGAAGAATAGGATAAATAGCAAAAGAGAAATCACTGTGTAGAAACTATTTGTAGGTTCTATTTACAGAGTGCCTTATTCTTCCATCACAAAGCACAGACTTCTAAAGGAGTTTTGAAGGGTCATGGTATAATCAGTTGCCAGTGTCAAGAGGAGACAAAAGAATGAAGGTAGTGTTAGATGAATGGGCAAGGGGAATATCAAGCAGTTGTTGAATTACATTTATTCAGTGGTTGGTAATGCTGTGATCACCACTCATACTGAACTTGATTCTGGCAATTGCGCTTCAAGAAGGATGCAGAAAACTTGAAAAGGGTGTATAGAAGCCCTAAAAGAATGATATAGCGCTTGGGACACATGCTTTATCATGAAAGACTGGGGCACAGCTTAGTAAAAGTAAAGCTAAGGTGGCACTTCCAGACAGTAGTCAAGCCATCTCTTAATATTTTCTCTGGTAAACTACATGGAAACATTTGAGATAAAGTAAGTGATGTTCAAAACCAGATTATTCAGTCTTGCTGATTAAAAGAAAATCAAATTACTGTAGCTTAGCAAATAAGGTAATAAAAAACAGGCTAATTCAGATTACTATTAAGGATTTATTTTTTTTTTAATAGTTGGAACTACTGATAGTTGTAGATTACTCAGCACTAGAAAATTAAGAAGGATGATTTAGTCAAAATATTCTGTTGAACTTCATGATAAAATTAATATATTTATATATAAATTGTAAATTATTTTTTAATCTTCCCTTGTGGTGGGTAGTATTAAAAAAGTATGTGGAAAATAAGCAATAGTTATCCCTGTAGCTGTGTAGAAGCCCTTGGATATAAGAGAGAGCTATGTACTGTATTTTCATAACATGCTGGTCTCAAAGTAGGTTAGACATCTGCTAGGCCATTTAGTTTTCTGTAAAAATACTGTTCCCTATTTGTTCTGTATTAAAACCTTCTCCATTTATATTTTTATGTTATTTAAAAATAAATGTAGAAAAGATGTGTTGTTTTAACAATTAATAAAAACAAACTAGCTAAGTTTGCAGAATGGTCCAAGATCAGCGTTCCAGAAGAGTTCTTTCAGAAAGAAGAAAGTCAGATTTGAGTGAATGTCTCATATTTATTTTTCAAATAATAATGTTAGAGAAAATAAATACTTTGTGGAACTGTATGCTCAGCTTCCCCAAAGTAACACAAGGGTGTTTGTTGTTTAAATAGAACTAACAGATGCTTAGGAATCTTAAGAAGCCAGGATTCCTATCTTTCAGGCTTCTCTTCATTATGGCAGATTTTTTTCATACCACTGATAGAAAATAAATATTTTGTTATGATTGATAAACATACTTGTTAATAACTACATGCTTTAAGCCATTTTTGTACTATATTTCAGTGGTATGCAAGACAGAGCTTTGCTTTAGATGTACAGTAATCTTTAAGCCCCTTTAGGAGATTCTCAGTTTGCTCTAAGAAGTAGATTATACTAGTTCTGCAGTTCTTCAGTATTCATAGTATTTTTTATATGTGACAGTGAGGCAGTGTTTATTTTAAGAGTCCAAAGCCACAGGTTCAAATCCCCTTAAAATCAATAGGGAAAATTGCTTGCAATGACTTCTGACTTATATAGCCTGGATGTTTTGATTTCTATTTTACCCATGAAATTTATATATGAAAATCTACTGCTAGGTGAGGTTTTTATTTTTTGTGTAATACAGCATTTTAGTACTCAGTGAGAGGACATTAAGAATATTCAGTAATACAAATGGTGCCTTACTATGAATGCAGTAAAAGTAACAAGTATCAGTGAAATGACACCCAAAATTACTAGCATTTGTATCTAGTATATTCCCAGTCTAAAAAAATATTCAATAACTTGATATAAATAACTGTTTGTTAAGAGATCATGCCGTTAATCTCTGTGGCTCCTTACGATGTATTTATTGCCATATAAATGAAACATCTTCCAGCAGTGCAGTAAACAATGTGCCTAATATCTGTAACTTGCTTTTCATATACATACTCTCCGCAGGGAAAGAAGCATGTGCAGTACATAGCCATGTTTTGGTACAATTTTTGGGTTTATTTTGGGGCAAGTGCATTGAAAGCATTCGTGTTGACAACATATAATCAATATATAGTTTTAACCAAAATTATTCTGTTTATGCTGATTGACCCATAGGCAAACTAGAGACTGAGTTGGATATTGCCTGGGTAAATACTTCATCTGACACCCAGCCCACTCCTGCATTCTTTCCATCACTCGGAGATGTTGGTCATGTCATACAATGCGCATCTGCATCTGGCCATGGAGAAATGGGACAGCATACACCTGGTTGTAAAACAAGTACAGGCTTAGTCATGTCACAAGTGTGCATAAACCCTCAATACCTACTCATACATTTCTGGACAGCACAACAGAAAGGTGGGAAATTACTAATTTTGTTGGTTATGTTATTTCTGTGAGTTAAGCCCAATAGGCAGCTAAGCACCACAAGCTGCTCACTCACTCACCCCCAATCCCCTATGGAATGAGGGAAGAGTAAAAGTAAGAAAACTTGGGGGGTTAAGATAAAAAAAATTCAAAAGTTTATAAAGCGAAGGATAAATGAAAGATGAGAGAAAGAAAAAGAAACAAAACAAGTGAGGCAAAGGCAATCACTTTCCACTTCCCAAAGGCAGACCGATGCACAGCCAGTTGCCAAACAAAAGGTAGCTGACTTCCCTAAACCCCCTTTTCTCCCTTATTATGGCTGACTATGATGTTCTATGGCATGGAGTCTCTCTTTGATTAGTTCAGATTAGTTCTCTTTGGTTGTGTCCTCTCCCAGCCTATTGCACACCCCCCAGTCTTCATTGTGGTGGGTAGTAAGAATGAGAGAAGGCCTTGATGCTGTGCAAACACTGCTCAGCAATATCTAGAACGTCAGTGTGCTATCAGCATTGTTTGGGTCAGATACCTACAAGACAGCACATTGTGAGCTGCTGTGAAGAAAGCTAACTCTGTCCTAGCCAGGCCCAATACAGTTATTTAGCAGGATGATCTAGGAAACATTTGAGACTTAAGCTATAAAAAGCTATAGAGAGAATCTGAATAACAAAGTATTTTTCAGGAAGAAAGAACACAGTATTTATTTTGTAGATAACCTTGGTGCTTTTGAACGCATGTCATAGGTCTTGTGGTGGAGGAGATGATAAGTATTTCTAAGACTGGGAAGGAAATCCACACACAAATGATATTCAAGGTACATATTTATGTGTCCCACTGAAGTTACTCAAGACTTGAAAGAATTGAAAAATAAGAATTTATGTTTTTCTTGGACACAAATTTGTACTTAGGTCTATTTCATTCCTTTTACTGCAGAAAACAGACTACTTATACAGTTGTGTGCATTACATAATGCTGAACTTTCTCAAACTAGAGTATCAGT